CATTTGTGTATTGCAGTGCAGATCGAGTTGACTGCCTGAACTAGCTTGCAGGCTTCGTTCAATACTCGCTATAGAGACACAATTTCTAAGAGTAATGTTGAAATAATGTGTATTTTCATTCACATGAAAGCAGTTAAAAATCAAACAAAATCGCAAATGTGTCTGTTTATGTCTTAAAAGGTAAATTTTTGTATATAACATTATTTCTACAACATTCTAAATTTCTAAAATTAAAGGAGCTATATGTAAGGATTTTAGGTTTTTTATAGTAAAAGTTAAAGTATATATTTTTCGGCTTTTATCCCTTTATTTGATAGGACAGCTGGAGACAGACAGGAAAGGGGGGCAGAGAGAGGGGATGAAACGCAGCAAAGGGCCACAGGTCGGATTTGGACCCCAGGCTGCTGCAGCAAGGACTGTAAGTCATCGGGGAGCCACTGGTTGCTTTCTAATGTAGCCAACAGTCAAAGGTCAGAAAGGGTCAGACTGCAGCCCAAACACACACACACACACACACACACCAGGAGGATACACAAAGCATGGGAATAGAGGAGAGCAGTAATGCTCTTTACTGCAGACCAGACATAATGTGAGGAGAGGACGTAAACCCCCACCGGTCTGAAAACCCCATTAAAGGAGTGCATCTTATCAGGAGAGGAAGAAGTGGCCGTAAGCCTGTCTCCAATCCCCCTGGCAACTGATACTCCGCTGACCTTATTAACTCGGTACAGTAAAGCACCCAAGCATGCAGCAGCAAACTGCCCAAGAGGCCGAGCTGTACCCAGGAGAGGAGGCTGCCGTTACGGACTGTGAGGCACGAAGACAGGCCCCGATGAAACGGGTCAGGTCACATTTTCACAAATTAAACCACTGATTTCCTCTGCAGGACGACAGACACACGTACACGCACACACTCATTTTGTGGACTCACCTGTATTGCTCCTATGTTCTCCATCAGCTGGTCGGTGTTGGACGCCCCTAAAAGGACAGAGCTCACCCCCTCGTTCCGTAGGCACCACGCTGCAGGAGACCAGTAAACAGCAATGACACCCCAACCACCACTATGGACACACACACACTCTCACAACAGAACCCTGATTCACACAAAAAACACGCTGCACAATATCACAACAACCACAAAAACACACAGCAGATTGATTTTCTGTTCAAATACATGTCAAATGAAATTCCCTTCATGACTAAAACATCCTGGAAGCTACTGCGAACATTTCCTGTCCACAAATGAAATATGACAGATTTATAGCTGCTCACAAACATACTCACATCAAACTCACCACATCAT